GCAGCCGCCGCCCTGGCCGGGCAGAGTCCTGGTCGCCAGCCGGAGGGAGGGCAGGGCAGGGCAGGGCACCCACACCGCCCGGATCCACCCCGCCCGCCCTCCGCAGCTCCACCAGTCTCCCTGCCCGCTCCCGCTGGGAGGGGGGGGGGGGAGAGAGAGAGAGAGAGAGAGAGAGAGAGAGAGAGAGAGAGAGAGAGAGAGAGAGATTGGTGCACGTGGCTGTGTGTTGCAGGAGCCTGTGCCACGGCAGGGGGTACTCTGTGTGGCTGTGTGTCCGGGTGACGGAGTGTGGCCCGTCTGTGACTGGCTGACTGGTGTGTGCTGGTGCAGGAGCATGTTGGGTCTGGGTGTTGGGGTGTCTGGGTGAGCTCTTCCTGAGTTTGAGATTCGCAGTGACAGCTGTGACTGCTGTCACAGTGCCGGTGTGTGTCGTTGTGTGACTGTGACTGTGACTGCACATCTGGACAAGTGGCTCGGTGTGAGGCCTGGAGGGGTCTGGGACGCGCCTCCTCTTAAGGGTGATGGTGGCAGCTGTTTGCCAGCGCACAGTGTGGCTGCAGCTTTGTGTCAAAATGGAGTGTCATCCACTTAGTCACAGTGGTCAGTCCCTCCACCAGGCTCCAGACTATGCCTTTGCCCACCGGCCCCAGGACTTAGTTCTTTGAATCAATGATTTCTTACCTCGCTGGAGTCTTCATCTCCTCCTCCTCCACCAGCTTCCATCACAACAAACCCGCTCTCATCAGGGTCCTCCTGCCACTTTCCTGGTGAACGACTCCACCTCCTTGGATCACGGTACCTGTTGGTTTTGGCAACACCATTTCTCTCTTCGTTTTCTTCATGCTTCAGAATTCCTCTGGGCTCTTTCCTCACTCCCCATCTGTTCATGTGCTCATCTGTTCACGTAGCTTCCATCACTCCATATTATAGGTTGAACTGCATCCCTCAAAATTTTACACGTTGAGGTCCTGAGCCCGAATACCTCAGAATGTCACCTTCTTTGCAGGTAGAGTCACTGCAGGGGCCCAGGATGACTTCATACTGGAGTGGGCTGGGTCCCTAATCTAATATGACTGGCATCCATATAAAATTGTGGACACACATGGAGAAGAGCATGTAAAGACGCAGGCAGAGATCGGGTGACGCTTCGACATGCCAATGAAAGCCAAACATTGCCAGCAAAACATCAGAAACTAGGAGAGAGGCTGGGACAGACTCTTTCTCGCGGCTGCCAGAACTCAATCCCGCTAGCACCTTGATCTTGGACTTCTAGTCTCCAGACTTGTGAGATTCTAGTCTCCAGAATTGTGATTCTTCTACAACAAATCTGAACATGTTGCCCACATCTTCATCAAACTCTCTGATGGCTTTGCTCCACCCTTAGGATACACTCTAGCATCCTTTATGTAGCTGCTCACAACCTGGTTCTTGGCCATCTCATTGGCTCCAGCCACACCAAGGTTATTTGGTTCCTAAGAAGCCTCTCACCTCCAGGCTCTGCTTAGGCTGTTCCCTCTCCTGGAACAACTCTTCCCTGCCCGCCTCCCCCTTGCCTGCCTGGAAATCTACTCGTCTTTTGGTTTCGCCTTAAGTGTATTGCCATTTAACATCTGGGTATACTTTCTCTGATCCCATGGTGTTAGCACCATGCTCTATTGCAGGGTTTCAACCCGACTACAGACTTGAAGCTTCCGGAGAGCTTTTAAGTTATATTGATACGTAAGCTCTGACTCAGACCAACTACAGGGCGCCCCCCCCCCAAAATGTATATGCACTTTGAATGATTACAAAACCAGTGTTTATTAACACACAGTTCATTTTCAAAATTTAAAGAGTCTACAGAAGTGAATGATTTTTTTTTATCAATGCCTATTTTCAAACTGATGCCCATTCTGGTCCAGGCACTGCTGATAACTCAAAGCAATGGAATCACAAACTTCAAGAATCATTTTGTTTGGTATTTGTGTGCCCTCAATTTGTCCACTGTTGCTGGTTTTGTACTGTAAACTTTATCTTTTATGTACCCCCGTGAAATAAAGTCTAGTGGCACTTTAGGATAAATATTTTTTGTTGAAGTTTAGCCTGGCTTCATCCATTATTTCAAATCAGTTAAACTTGAAAAGTTAAATATTGAGTCATCAGCCACATTTTATGTATATAGGTCGGAGGTGCGGCCTGGGCACTGGTCGGCGTTAAAAGTCCCAGATGGTTCTCCCGTCAGCCAAGGCGGAGAGCCACTGCTCTGGCAGGCGGCGTTTCTACATCCCAGGGAAGCCAGGGACAGAGCTGGGTATCCCAGGGCCAAGTGGGTGAGGAGTGAATGTCTGCTGCACTCACTTGACAGGATTACATCACAGAGACTGACGCTGTCTGAGCGACTTTAACCCGTGTGTGGGACTGTGTGTGAGCCACCCGCTCAGTGACCGTGGAGCGTGGCACTGTGAATGGTTGTGTTGTGGGAGGACCAGGGTGAATGGCTACACTGTGACACCGCAGGGTCAGCCACCACGTGAACTGACCACTTCCTGAGTGTCAAGGTCACTGTGAGTGGCTGTTCTGTGTGACAGGGCAGGGCGTCACCGCTGGAGTGGCTGAGTCCCGTGCGTGAGGACCCAGGCTGGGCACTCACCTCGCCAGGCGGCCAGGGGAAGGGGCGGCGGTGCCCCTCGGAGATGGCGGCTGCGGGCGAGGCCGCCCGTCCCGTCCCGGCGCTGCCCCGCATGTGACCCAGAGGAAGCAGGAGGCGGCGGGGAAGACATCTGCAGGTCACTCGGTGCAGCTCCGCGGGCAGGACGCAGCCCCGCACCCAGCACCGCGCTCTCGGCCCCGGGCGCACAGCGGGCGGGCCGTGGAGGCGGGACCCGCGCGGCGTCCAATCCGTTGCGGCGGTGAGGTCGGCGCTCACCTGCGGACCTGTAGTCGGAGCCAAGGCCCTGGAGCCAGTCAAGACCTCGGGAGCAGAAACCCAGCCACGCGATGCTGAGTCTCTCCCTGTGTCCCGGGACAAATCTGTTCTTTCTGCTTTTGAGCCTTGGCACTGCCCTCTACTTGGGCTACTACTGGGCATGTGTGCCCCAGGTGGGTGCGGGTCCAGAGCTCTGGCCGGGGAGTTGGGGGTGCTCGGGTCTAGGGGGCAGCTTCCAGCAGGGAGCCCGAGCCCTTTGTGGGAACTGGCATGGTTGGGCCTCGCTTCCCAGGTGAAACCTGACGCCCTAACTCCACACCACCCCGCCCCGCGCTCCAGCCAGGCTCACTTTGCTAATCACTGCCTTGTGGAGAGCCATTCCTTTGCCTGCCTAGATCCTCTGCATATCTCCTGCTCCGCTTGCCAGATGGGCCTTTCGGGCATCGGAGGGGTTCTGCTCTCCATGATGTGGACAGACATTTGGGGAGACGGGGTGGAAGGCATACAGCACGCCATGTTTCCTTGTCTTTACCAGCAGTCTAGCGAAGTTCCTCATTAGCTGCACTGAATGAAGGAACCTGAGCCTGGGGGTTGTGGCTAACTCCCAGCACCGCCCCATCAGATAGCAGTAGGCCTTGCTTCTCCGGCTCAGGATTAATGGATAACCCAGCTGCCCTTGCTCATTCAGCCTTGTTTTAAGTCCTGGGCTCTCCATGTCTAGTGAAGTGAGAAAGTATGAAAAGGCTGATTTTGATGAACTTGGAGATTATATTCTCACTGAAATTTAGGTCAAGTACATAATTTACATGTCCAGAAAAATCTAAAGATTTAATCTTTATTGAACTCTGTTTTAAGTAGCTGAGTCTAACAAGAAACCTATTGATTCGAGCCCTTTATGAATAGGGAATTTTAATGTTACCTAGACTTTTCTGTATTTCCAGAGCTTTCAACATTCACATATATTTTTTATACAAGAAGTCTGCCTTGATAAAACCATTTAAAAAGTCCAAACCTCACAATACACTATAAATCTTACTTTATATGTCTGATTTGGAAGTCACCTGTTTCAGACCTTAACATTTTCCTTTGCTTGCAACAAGCCACACAGAAGTCAGAGACCTCTGGCACTTCATTCTGCAAACCCTTCCTTGACTTTCACCTACTGGTGAAAATGCAGGAAAAGTGCCATTCCGGAGGCCCTGACGATGTGGCGTTTGAATGGTCTAGCATGGAACAGACTGGTTTTGATTCATCCACAGCAGTGGTTCTCAACCTTCTGGCCCTTTAAATACAGTTCCTCATGTTGTGACCCAACCATAAAATTATTTTCGTTGCTACTTCATAACTGTAATGTTGCTACTTTATGAATCGTAATGTAAATATCTGATATGCAGGATGGTCTTAGGCGACCCCTGTGAAAGGGTCGTTCGACCACCAAAGGGGTCGCGACCCACAGGTTGAGAACCGCTGATCCACAGTGACCAATGGGCATGTGACTATTTAATTCTCAGGAATGAGGCAAGAAATACTTCACTGTAGTTAAAATGAAACCCACATAAATCAAACCTGTGACCTAATTTATTAGGACCTTATTCTACACCACTGAGCTGCTTGACCAAGAATTTAATAAATTGATAACTCAAAATCTTGATGATTAGGAGGTAATATATAGTACAGTGACTAAGAGCACAAGCTCTAGAGTTGAACAGACTTGGGTTTGAATCGCAGCTCCCCCACTAACTAGGTTTAGCGAGCTTCATGACCTTTGACAAGTTACTGGACATTCAAGCCTGTATCCACAGAGGGATCACATTACTTAAAGAGCTGCTGTGAAAATCACAGGATATAATCTTGTAAAATACTTAGCACAATGCTTGGAACACAATGAGCACTCAATAAATTTTACCTCCTGGTATTAGTGGTAATATAACGTTAATTCTGCTTTGCCTCTTGTTTGCTGTGCGATTTTGGGAAACAGCTTAATCTGTGAGTGATAGTTTCTTCACTTATAAAATATCCTATCTCATAAGGTTGGGCTTAGCCTAGTGCCTGAACGTAGCACACAATGAATCACAGGTGTTATCCCGGGGCTTAAGGGCCAGGGTGAGATCACATCTCAAACACACTACCAACCTGGCCTCACCAGCTCATCATTTACCTAGCCCCCTTCGAGAACCAAGACTGCAGAAGAGAGAGGAATCTGGTCCTCAGCTTCCTTAGGGCCTGTGACAGAAATGCAATTTCTATTTCGAGTCTGCACAGCGTACTCCTTCATACGCCTCCTATGTGGCTAGTCCTTCTCATTCACTTGGTCTACCCGGAAGAACCAGCAGAGGGGTTAAGTCAGGGTGGAGTGCTCACTCACCTCACCTGTCGCTGTTGTCCCATCCCTGTTGCCTTCTCCCCGGCTGGCATGAAGGAAGAGGAAACCTAGTCACATGGGGACTAGTCCTTCTTTAGAGTATGGCCAAACAGCAGGGGCCCAGGAGCGAGACAATGAGGTGCTGTGGCAGGAAGAAGCCCTTCAGCAGTGAGCACACAGTAGGGAACAGGAATATGCAGCTCAAATCAGGGAGCCAGCTCCGCTAGCTAGCGCTAGTTTTAGAAAGATGACAGTGTGGAAAATGGAAAATGCAAAGGTCACAGGTTGAATGGTGCTACATTTCTTCAGCCTCTGTCTGGGGTCCCAATCCTTCCTGCAGGGGATCAGCTGGGCAATTTATCTATATTACTGCTCTCTCCAAAGTGGGGCTGGGGCATGGATAGGCTAAGTGGGGGAGTCAGCACCCAGTCAGCTGCTGCAGCTCCCAGCCTGGCTGAGTCTGCAGGGTCAGTTCTGGAGAGGTGACACTCCAGGACGGCAGTTCTCTGGGCCTCTAGCTGGACTGTACTAACACAGGTGACTTGGCCATTCCAGACTAGGGTATGCTAGACTCATTCCCAGCTGAAGCAATGACCTCTCTGGCTTGGCACAAAAATCAGGGAGTGAGGCAGATTGTATTGTGATTGCAGAGGCCTCAACTGGTGACTGGGTCCCGGTTTCTGGCCTTCCTGAAGCAGCACTGTCCAATCACTGTGGAAACTTTCTATCCGACGCTATGGTGTTTTGAGGGGCGGCTACAAACCATCTTCCGAGCCTTACTGCATCCTCGGCCTCCAGTCTCTTACTGGAGGTAAGAAGGGAGAGAGGGGAACACCAAGCTGCAAGTATAGGGCAATCTCTTTTAAAATGAAGGTAATCTTTGCCATCCACCTCACAGTGTGTTGAGGGTAAAAACGAGTGGCTATATGGAGGGCTATTTAACTGCACAACCATGAGGTAATATTGAACCTTTTATGTCCCTATTACACCTTGTTTTGTTTCGCATAATGTATGCCCGCAAAAGATGGCAATGGGAAGTTTGGGAGTTGTTTTGGTGGGACGGGGCAAACCTCTTGAAGTATATGGAGTTCCTAATGGTATCTTTGTGTGTCCTTTTCTCCAAAACCACAGTGAAGTCCTCCACACTCCAGATGGAGGACAGCTCCTGCTAGACTGGGCTGGCCAGCCTGACAACAGTCAATACCCTGACCCTGCCACCCAGCCCATTGTGTTACTGCTTCCTGGTATTATAGGCAATAGCCAGGAGACATATATCTTGCATCTAGTTGACCAAGCTTTGAGGGATGGTTATAGGTAAGGATGGACCCAACCCAGAGGAGCAGGGTGGCATCTGAGAACTAGCAACAGGGAGGTCAATTCAGAGCTATGGGGAGGTGGTGCTACCTGGAAGGCACCTTTGGCCGGGGGTCTTTCTGAAGGCTGGCAAAGGGGAGGGGCTTCTAGAGACAGCCTGGCTAAGATGTACCCGTGTGCCACAGGGCTGTTGTACTCAATAACCGGGGCTGCCATGGGGAAGAACTGCTGGTGAGTACCCTGCTTCCTCAGAACAGCTCTGAGGAAGATCCTGGAGATCCTGGGCCCTGGGGCTCTACTTACCTCTCCTCCCATCTCCCTCCCATTTCTCTGCCTCTGGCCAGGGCTTCCCTCCTTACCCAATGACCTGGTTTGCCTCAGACCCACAGGACCTTCTGTGCCAGCAATACCGAAGATCTGGAGACAGTCGTGAACCACATAAAGCGCCGCTACTCCCAAGCTCCACTGCTGGCCGTGGGCATCTCTCTTGGAGGGTAAAGGCTGCCTGGACTTAACCCAAACGCCCAGTCTCCCTGTGTTTCTTTCCTCCTCTGTCTCCTCTGTCCCAACTCACTAATGCAAACCCTTCTTTCATGGTCACCGGTCCAATCCTGCAGGATATTAGTGCTGAACCACCTGGCACGAATGGGGCAGGCTGCAGGGCTGGTGGCAGCACTGACGCTATCTGCATGCTGGGATTCCTTTGAGACCACCAGCTCCCTGGAGACCCCGCTCAACTCACTGCTCTTCAATCAGCGCCTCACTGCCGAGCTCTGCCGAGTTGTGGACCGGTAGGGTCTTGGCAAGTGGGAGGGGGCGGCAAACAGGGTAGGATGGCAGGCATGCCAGGTCCTCCCAGTGCTTGGGTCAGTTCTATCTGGGCTTTTTCACTCATGAAATCAAACAGAGGCCTGGGGCTCTGGGTCAGGTCCAGGAGGAGAGCCAAACCTGTGCTCTTTTGCAGAAATAGAAAGGTGATGGAAAAGGAGGTCAATGTAGACTTTGTGATACAGGTATAGTCTTTCAACCATCTCCCCTCTTCCAACTACTCTTCCATTATCTTCCTATTCCTTATCCTTAACCTAGCCTATCCCACCCTCCATAGGCCCGCACAATACGTCAATTTGATGAGCGCTACACAGCTGTGGCCTTTGGCTATAAAGACTGTACTACCTACTACCAGGCAGCAAGCCCAAGAACCAAAGTGGATGCCATCCAGATACCTGTGCTCTGCCTCAATGCAGCGGACGACCCCTTCTCCCCAGCCTGTGGTGAGCACCCCGAATCTTGATGCTTTAGGCCCCAAGGACCATGGGCCATGTGGTGTAAGTGGAGAGAGCCTGGGTTCTCAGACCTCTCCAACCCCTCCTCCAGCCTTTCCGCTACAAGCGGCCCAACAATCGCCCCACGTCGCCCTGCTCGTCACAGCCCAGGGCGGCCACATCGGCTTCCTGGAAGGCTTGCTCCCCTGGCAGCACTGCTACATGAGCCGCCTCTTCCATCAGTACGCCAGAGCCATCTTCCAGCACTCGGCAGAACTGCTGGGCCGCAGGGCTCTGTCACCTTCCGAGGGAGGCAAGAGCTGACAACAGTGCCAGTTGGGTCTCAGTTCAGTCTTCCTGGTTTATTAAATATCAACTTTTCCTGTCAAACGGGCTGAGGTTCACTTTCCCTTTTCTCAAAGCTAGGGTAGACCATCTAAGAACTTATTGCCTATTTAGCCTGGCTGGCTGAGAGCTACCCAGCTGAACCCAGATTACTGCCTGGGTCTTCCTTTTGCTCCTTCCTTCCCAGGCAGGTGCTTGCCCCAGCAAACACAAGGGGCTCATGTGAAGGGCAACGGGCCACAGGTTGTGAGGGAGGAGAAACAGATTGCTTCTGCAGAAAGGACAGCAGTGACTCCAAATTCTGGGGCACCTTCACATATTTCTGGAGAAAGGATAAGCTCAACTCTGGAGCCCCTAGCAGACAGAGGAGAGGAGGCAGGTGGTGTGGCCTGGGCTGCAGACACCACTGTCCTGAGTGGATCCAAAGATGAATTCAGGGTTCCCAGAACTCAGTCACACAAGGCCACAGTCAAGCTTTAACTGGGAAGGGCAGGCAGTTCCTGTCAGGTCTCCTCAGAGGCCACCTCTGCTGTGGACCCAGGTAGACGTGGAGTGAACAATGGTGTTGGGGCCTCCACTCTGGTCCAGAAGGTGGCAGAGTCCCAGGCCCCTGGTTCCCTGGGAGCAGGAGATTAAAGAAAACCTGGAAAGGCACTCTGGAGCAGCAGAATGGTCATGACAATAAGCCCAACACATAGCAGCAGCAGGAGCCACACAGGAACACTCCCTGCAGGATAAGAGAAGAAGTCAGTGGGCAAAGGGGCTTCACATGCCAACACACAGAACCCTCAACCGACTCCATTCAAGGAGGGGACAGATGACTATAAATGAGCAGCCCATTCTCCACGAGGCAAATTTTTGCTACAGCTAAAGGTGGGGTGGAACCTGCCCACCCCAATGACTCACGTCGTGAGGGTAGCAGGTGCAGCTGGCAACGACTATCCACAGCCACAGAGAACAGGGCAGTTTCGTGGGACCCAAGGAGCTCTGGACCGCGACCCTTCTCGGGTAGAAAGGCCACGTCCGTCACTACAATGCCATGGGCCTCCCTCACATAGTACAGGCGCTAAGGACAGGAGAACAAGGGAAGGAAGGCTCAGTGGGAAACATTCTTTCTGGAAACATGTCCCCTGCCCCCCAGGCTTCCCTCTATAGGCTGGGCCAGACTCCTCCCTGCACTCATGGTAGAAGCAGGCCTACAGTCCCCACCCCAAAGAGCCCCCAGGACTGTGCCCACCTCTGCCCATTACCTGGAGAGAGAAAGCTATGTAGATGGCAACAGATCCAGTGACTGTGCCCAGGCCTAGGAAGGTGCCCGATTCACTGCAACAAACAACAGAGCGTTCACTGTCCTGGACGCCTGCGCAGCAACACTCATTCACTAACAAGAGTCCTCGGGGACTCCAGCAGGACCTTGTGGAGCCCCCCCAGCCACCCTCACACCGAGCCACGCCAGCACTGTCTCAGACCTGACAGTAAGGCAGGAAATGACTTCATGGCCACAGGGTTTGGTCCGAAGAGGCAAGAAGGTAGAGCCGTCCCAGGCTGTGAGGTAGCAGGGTGGGGGCTGGCGCAGACGCTTGTGGGGAATCTGCACTGTGAAGAGTCGTAGCCCCGTAGGCTGGTCTGGAACCTGCCCAAACCTGGGGGCCAGTGAGAAGCGGTTCAGCGCCTGGGGCCTGCCCAGCCCTCCTCAAGAGTTTTGTACCCTCCTGCACCCTGGTTGGGCCGAGGTAATACTCGCCAAGGCTACCGGCTTCCCCCAAGTCTTTTCCCACTCCCCTTCCACACCGAGGTTGAGCCTTTAAGCCACCCTCCAGGACCTTCACACCTGCAGGCCTGGTAGCGGTAAGGCGTGTTAGAGAAAGTGGGTCCGTTCTCTTGCCAGTGCAGCTGTGTCACCAGCTGATCCTTCTGCCACACGAAGGCCTTAAGGTCCCAGCCCACAGTTACCAACTGGTCAGGAATCAAGAGTTCGAGGAGGGACAGTTAGGAGATCCACGTACAGAACAAGTAGCATCACCACCTTTTCCCACCCTCTCACCTCCTCACCTTGCCATCCGGCCCCAAAGCCAGGTCCTCAATCTCCCCTTCGTGGGCTTTGAACTCCAGCACTTTCTCTAGGCTGGGTACCTGCAGCCAAACCACCACCACGGTTATAACGCCCGGGTACCCACCAGAGCGCGGCGATTCCCACCCGCTTCTCTTCTGAAGGCCGCTAGCCGCAGACTTCGCTCACTACTTCCCAGAACCCACGTTCGCTTTCTCACAATTCTGGCCTTGCTGCTAAGGACGCACATCCTCCCTCACCCCCAAAAAACCGTACCTTCCAGACGCGCACGCAGCCATCGGTGCCTCCCGTGGCCAGCAGGGTGTTATCGTGGTTGCAGCATACAACTTTCTGCAGCGGATCCGGGCTGAAGTCTGTCTGCACCGCCTGCAAATTCTCTACTCTCAGTTCCACCCCCTCCTGGTGGGTTTCAGCTCCAGATTTCGTCTCTGGGGGGGCCGCCCCCTTTCTTTGCCGAGGCCCCTGCTCCTTGGTGCCTGCCACACAAACAGCCCACCAGCGTCCAGGCTTCTGTGCGTAAGCAATACCGGCCCCCTCTCTACGTGGCTGGTGAACATCCAGCTTCCCGCCTGCGACCATGACCCCCCTTCCCGCCCCTCTCCTTCAGAGACCAAGGTGGGAACGAGCTGACCCGTTTCATCCCTTTCCCAAAAGCTGGAGGGCCGGCTTCTCACCTGCCTTCTCTGCCTTGCTTTTGCCCTTCGGCTGGAGGGTCTGGAAGCGCAGGAGCTGACAGTGGGCATCCTGCCCTGCAGCAAGGATGTTGCCAGCCAGCGCCAAGTTCATAGTAGCCCGCGTCTCCGTGTCGTGGGTGTGCAGCAAGGAGGCGCTCAGCCGCCCGTTAATCTGCTCCAGCTGCAGAAAGTGCTGTGGGAGAGGGGCCCGGCATGGGCGAGGTTCAGGGGTGCCCGGTTTAGCGCAAGGGCAAACCTGCCTCCGGTGGTCTGACACCTGACCCTTTGCTGACCGCACTTCCTAGTTCACCAGGCTCTCTCCAGCCCCCAACCCGTGTTTTCTTCTGAACCTCACAAATCCGTACAGCAGGCAGGGCTGGGATCATTACCTCCAGGTCACAGAGCGATAGGGAGACGCTTAGAAGAGGGAGGGAGACCGAGCCCAAGGGCCACACGCAGCACGGTCGCCGCTGCTGAGCACGGCTCGGGGCTCGGGGCTCCCGGAACAGCCAGGACAGGACCCCCCCGAGCTGCTCCCGGGGTGCAGCGGAAGCGCGCTTTACCTTAGCGTCTCTCCACAGCCCTGTGCTTAAGCTCTCGGCTGAAATTCGCGTCGGACGCCCGGCTCGCCGGGGGTTTCCGCGGGGCGGGGGCGGGGTCCCACGCTGGGGTGCGGCCCGCCCCCGCGACCCTCCCGGGGTCGCCCTCCGCCCTCGGTGACCCGGCCAGAGTGGCCTGCGCTCTCACCACTCCATTCTTTATGCCCGTCTTGGCGGCGCCGCCGCCGCCCGCAGCGATGAGCAGCCCCGTGCTGGGGTCCACCTGCAGCGCGTACAACGGGAACGGGGCCCGGTAGAGCTCGGGCGCCCGGCGCCGACCCATCCCGCTCGCCGCTCGCCGCGCGCTTCACCGTCCGCCCCGCGGCCTCCGCGACATGCCGCGCCCGGCCTTCGACTCTGCCCCCGCCGCTGCTGAACTTGATCCGGCCGCCGCCGGGGGGACTCCCGACCCTCTCACCCCGCGGGGATGCCAAGACTCGACCCGCACACAGCAGCCGGCGTCTGCGCTCGCGGCCACCCACCCCGGCCTGGCGGACGCGCAGTGCGCAGGCGCGCCCGGCCCGCTCCCCTCGCGCAGGCGCAGAACCGCCGATCCGCGTCAGCAATAGCCGGCCGCGGGGGGAGGGGGCCGACCTCCGGCGCCGGGACCCGGGTCTCCGCCATCTTTTTGCGGGGCGGGAGCAGCGCGCTCTTGCCTCGCGGGAATGTCCTGCGTGGAGAAGAGCTCATACAGGCCAAGGGAGGTTCGTGGACCTTTAACAAGGAAATCCTGGGGTTGGGGCTGTCTGCCTTCCAGACTGATACGCAGACGCGTACAAGCGCCGCCTTTACGTTTTACCCCAGAGAGGAAGTGATTTGCCCCACGGTCACACGCTGGACATGTGGCTTGTCTGGCCTCTGAATGCAGGCAGTGCGAACCTGAAAACAAACCGCTTTCTAGTAGGAGGAGACGATTTGCCTTAACACCTGTCCATCCTCGTGGCTCCGACCCTGCACCTGTGCCCTGGGGCGGGGGCTGCTCCCCTTGGACATCGCAGAGGCTGGCAATCCGGCCCCCAGCAGGGCAGATCTAGTCTCCACCCTCCCGAGGGGGCCCTTGGGTTTCTTATCTCCAATGGGAGCATCCTGGTGGTTCTCTGCAAGTGAATGCGAAGAGTGCCCTTTCCTGCAAGGAGACACCTCCGGTTGCTCCCCTGGCCACATCGGCATGCATCCTCGTTAACCTAAGGTGCACCCAGCAGAAGGGACCCAGTGGCTTCACCTTTGGGGATGCCATTATCTGCTTCACCAAATTTAATGTGCGAAGGGCCAGCCAGAGCCCGGCACATCTCAGGTGCTCAGGCCTTGTGGGCCCCTTGCCCTTTTCGGGTACATGGCATCCACTCTCCCTGGCCACTCTGTTTCCCTTGACTCTCTCCGACCCCTTGTTGGGTTCTGCCCCACCCCCTCTGACCCCATAGGTACCCAGGGTGTCTGCTCAACAGGACACAAACACAAGTTTTGCAGGGTTAAGCTTTATTGGATACATTGAAGGCTGAATGGGGCCTCCCGTACCCTTGGTCCTCTTCAGCCAGGAGAGAGCAGGCTCCACAAGGGACTTCCAGGGTTCAGGGCTGGAGAACACACCTGCCCGCCAGCCAGCCAGCCCTTCAGGGTGTCTCGGGGGCTCCCCGAGATCTGGGGCCTGGTGGGGATGGCAGGGTTTAGAAGAGGTGCTCCAGTGAGCCTCCGTGGCTCTGGAAATAGGATGGCGACTTTTGGAGAATAGGCTCTGGAGAGGCAGGCCTTGGAGCCGACAAAAGCCCGGGCTTCAGGGAGACCGCGGCCTGTTTGAGTGCCTGACGCAGAGGCCCTGAACATCGAGTGGAATTTGGTGATGGAGGGCCTGCAGACCTGAGGCTCCCGGTCAGGGAGGGTTTGCCTGAAGCTGAATCTGCCCAGGCCTGAGCTGCTGGGGCCTGAAATGCGTGGGTTTGATACCCAGGGGCCTGCATGGCCTCGCCCTGAGGTCCTGCTTCCTCCCGTCTTCTTTCTGGCAACAGATGCAAAGTCCTGGCCTGGCCTTGAGGCAGGCGGAGAGCAAAGCCGATGCCTATGCGGAGTGGTCTCGATTCCTGGTCTTGTGCACAGGGCAGTAGCTGGGGGAAGGCAAGCAGCCGGGGTCCAGTCCTGTACCTGGGGGTGGGGCAAGAGGGACTGCGGGGCCGGAGACACACCAGGCATATAGGGTACTCCACAACCGGAGGCTGGTCGGTTCTGCCTAGCCACAGGCTCTGCAAAATGAGTAACCGAAGGTCGTGTGCGATGCGACGGTACCCCAGCTGCACCACCAGGGCCTGGGCCAGGGCTCCCGGGTTCCTGAACTCTGCAGCGTCCCTTTCGCTTGCCACGCATCCCTCCGCCACCCCAGGGGATCTGGTGTCCTGGTGCTGATGCCAGTGCCATGTCTGCCTATTGGGGTGGACCCCAGGACAAGGTAGGCTGAGGTTCTGGGAAGTGAGCGTGGAGCTAGGTAGGTCTTCGGAGTGTAAAGGAGACTGGCAGTGTGGGCGAGAGGAGTTCTGTGGCTGAGAGGGATTAGAGGACTGAGTAGGAGGCGGAGAGGGATATAGCTGGCAGGAGGGAGAGGAGGAACGTGGAAGGGAGAGAGACGGGCAATTCTGATGAAAGAAAGCGGGGGAACTTGGGAGAGAGGAAGAGTAGGGTTGTAGGACGAAGTCAGAATTTGAGTCAGAAGAGGAGGAATGGGAGCCAGGAGAGTGGGACTGTGGTGGAGGGGAGCAAGGTGGAGGGGCGAGAGGGAGCGATTTCTGTGGAGGCAAAGGCTGAAGGTTCTGAGGAAGGGAGTCCACAAGTTGTGAGGGGCCCTGAGGGGGACGCCCAGGGGGCGCTGCTTTCTGTAGCAGCCCTTGGTCCTTGTTTTGAGGCAACATCGCCTTGAAACCGGAAAGGACTGAGGCGGCAAGACCAGAGATTAGAGACCTGGCAGCCAGGACTGGTATCTCTGGTTGCAGCGTAGGAGACACCCAGCCCAGCAGCACCAGGCTCTCTGGGTGTTCAGGCAGGAGGTGGGATCTAAGCTTGGCTTCTCTCTTCTTTGCAGTTGGCCATTTGATGAGGGATGTATAGGGATGGAGAATCCGAGCTGCCTCTGGGAGCCTGGGGGTGGCAGCAATTATCTGAATGGGCCAGGGAGGAAGGCACAGCCCATAGGACCTGTAGAGAAAGAAACAGCACCCAAGATATTGAGAGAATGGGTCCATTTCCAGCTTTGCCTCAGGGGCCAGTTCCAGGCTGGTTCACTAAGACCCTAAACCCATGTCACCTTTGGGGGCAGAAGAGCTGGCAAAATGCTCAAGGGAAGGGTAGAGCTGAGGAGGAGAGAAATAGGGAGGGAGAGAGGGTAGGAAGGAGTTGGAGAAGAGGGTATGGGGGCTGAGATGCGACTAGGAATTGAGGGTGTTCTGGTGGTGTAAGCTCTTACCCATGAAGGGTCCTCTGGACTGTTTTACAAGGCACTTCAGAAAGGACGGGACCTGGGAGAAAAAGGAACAGTCACCAAAGAGTGGATGCACCCCTCTCTGCCCCCAGCATCCTCTACCCTAAACTCACTCTGACCCAGATTTCTGTCCGAGCCTGGTCTTCAGTCCTCCTTAGCCAGGAGGGGGTCTTCTGTTATAGGCTTTTGTTCTCCTAAACCTGAATCAGGGATTCTGCAAGCATCTTGGTTTCCTGCCAGTCTGGTTCCCCTGACCCCTTGTTGCCCCTAATGCTGATGTCCTCTGGCTCAGCCTGGCCCTAGTCAATATGGCTTATCACACCCAACAGCAGCAGGAGCATGTGGCCAGCTGGTGAAAGCCTCTGAAAGACTGGGACTTTGTCTAAGGGGTGGCACTGCCACCACCCTTGGGAGCTAGAAGTCCCATTTCCTGGGGGTAGTTCTCCGTGACATCTAGTGCCTGTGTCACAAAGGTCAGGTGTGACATCAAAGGTTCTCTGCCTCTAGGCTCTGGGACCTGCTTTCAGAGACCGTCCACAGGCTGGCCTTTGACAAAACTGAAGCAGGCAAAATTCTCTGGGGCACTCGTCTCCTTTTCAGGCCCCCGTTACCCCCTCTGCTCTCTGCCCACCAAGGGTTCCCCTGAACCACACAGCCTATTTGGGCTGGGTCCTCCCTTCAACTTCTTATTTTCCCTTGCTTTCTGAGCAGGCTCATGCTCCACACTCCCTTTAGGATATCCTATATAATAAAAGGCTAATAAGCAAATCCACTGAACAGTGAAACGACTGGTCGCTATGATGCTCACGGACCACCAGGGGGCAGACGCTCAACATAGGAGCTGCCTCCTGGTGGTCTGAGTGCTCCCACAGGGGGAGTGCCACTCAGCCAGAAGCCGGGGTCATGGCTGGCGAGCTCGGTGGTGGTGGCAGGAGCCTCTCCTGCCTCCATGGCAGCGCTAAGGATGTCTGACTGCTGGCTTAGGCCCGCTCCCCGCAGGAAGCAGGCCTAAGGCATCAGTTGGACATCCCCCAAGGGCTCCCATAGTGCGAGAAGGTGCAGGCCGGGCTGAGGGATTCCCCCCCCTCCCAGTGCACGAATTTCATGCACCAGACCTCTAGTGTTTATATATTTTATATATTTTAGTAATTATTTTCTTTTCTTTTTTAATATATATTTTATTGATTTTTTTACAGAGATGAAGGGAGAGGGATAGAGAGTTAGAAACATGGATGAGAGAGAAACATCGATCAGCTGCTTCCTGCACACCCCCCACTGGGGATGTGCCCACAACCAAGGTACATGCCCTTGACTAGAATCGAACCCAGGACCCTTGAGTCCGCAGGCCGATGCTCTAGCCACTGAGCCAAACCGGTTCTGGCTAGTAATTATTTTCTTAACAGCTTTATTGAGATATAATTCACATACCATACAATCTACCCATTTAAAGCGTGCAATTCACTGTTTTCCAGTATGCTCACATGGTTGTGCAGCCATCAACACAATCTAATTTTAGAACATTTTTATTACCCCCTGTCCCCAAAAGCCCATCCCCATTAGCAGTCACTCTTCCTTCCTCCCTTCCCCTAGGCCCTGGAAACAATAAACCTACTTTCTGTCTCTATGGATTTGCATATCTAGGCATTTCATATCAATGGAATCATAGAATATGTGGCCTTTTGTGTCTGACTTCTTTCACTTCACATGTTTTCAAAGTTAATTTATGTTGTAGTATGTGTCATTACTTTATTCCTTTTTATTGCCAAATAATACTCCTTTAAATGCCTATATCATATTTTGCTTTCTCAATAATCAATTGATGGTTTTGTTGGTTTTACTTTTTTGGTAATTATGAACAATGCTGCTATGAACATTCTTGTACAAGTTTTGTATTGGCATACATTTATCTTGAGTAGATAACTAGGAGTAGAATTGTTGAGTCACATGGTGAGTCTATATTTAATTTTTAAAATCTTTTAAAAAATGTTTGTATATTGTCCTAGCTGATTTGGCTCAGTGGGTAGAGCGTCGACCTGTGGACTGAAGGGTCCCAGGGCACATGCCCTGGGTTGTAGGTTCAACTCCCAGTAGGGGATATGCAGGAGGCAGCCAATCAATGATTCTCTCTCATCATTGATGTTTCCATCTCTCTCTCCCTCTCACTTCCTCTCTGAAATCAATAAAAATATATTTTTAAAAAATCTCTCTTTAAAAAAAATGTTTGTATTGATTTTAGAGAAGATGCTCTAAGGAAAGAAAAAGAAACAAGAAATATAAAGATTCGAAAGGAAGAGATAAAATTGCCATTATTTTATCTACTTAGAAAAACCAACAGAACCAACAGGATATTAAGACTAATAAAGTTCAACAAGATTGCTGGATTCAAGGTAAACTTTTTTTTTTTAATATATTTCATTGATTTTTCCACAGAGAGAGGAAGGGAGAGAGATAGAGAGTCAGAAACATCGATGAGAGAGAAACATCGATCAGCTGCCTCCTGCACATCTCCCACTGGGGATGTGCCCGCAACCCAGGCACATGCCCTTGACCGGAATCGAACCTGGGACCCCTCAGTCCGCAGGCCGATGCTCTATCCACTGAGCCAAACCGGTCTCGGCCAAGGTAAACTTTTAAAAATCTAATAGCACACCTTTGGGATGGTGGCCTGCGATACGGAAGACGGATGGGAATGGGATAAAAGGAAATGGAGGGCAGGTGGGAGCGAGGCCAACAACCGGCCCTGTGTGTACCGAAGACGCTGTGCCACGAACTGACACGAATTGAGTGTATGTTTAAGTCTCTGCATCCGGCGTAAAAAAAAAAAAGGAAGAAGAAAACGCTTGGTGCGCATTTTTCAGTCTCCTTTCTCTATGTTCACGTAAGTGCATACACCTTCACACAGCTTTGTTTTTGGTGTTCTTCATCCTGGCTGGATCTTATTATACCCGTTGGTTTACAAATAAGTTTTTTCACTTAATTGTGCAGCTCGGAGAGCTTTCCATGTCATCTTACAGAGGTCTGTCGTATTCTTCCCATTACTGATGGATATTCAGTCAATTTTACTTGTCTTCTCTTTTCCGTTCTCTCTGGTCAGCTGGGTGTCTGCCTCGCTGTACCTACAGTCACCCCTGTTTCTCTGTCCTCTCTGTACCTTCCCTTTACTTATTGGGTCTCCCCTGGAGTTCAGGCTTGAGGGACAAGGGACATGCAAGACGATTCTGCTGCAGGCAGAGGTTGCAACTTGAGGTCAGGCAGGGGCTACTGTGGCAGATTTGCTATTTCTTCAGCCGCCTGCTCCTAAGTAGCTGTATGGAGGCTACAACGCCACTCAGCAAACATCCTGGTCCTTGCCTTCAAATCCCTCCCGTCTGGCCTGGGGACAGACAGGTGAGTAACTCAGCCCCGGAAGAACAGTACGGGGCCAGGGCAGTCTTCCAAGTTCACTAACTGCCTGGGTTTCCATACCCGCATCACTTGCTGGATGTTTGACGCTGGGCAAGTTATTTCACCTCCTGACGCTCAGTTTTCCCATCTGTGAAATGAGGATGTGAGTCTATTTTCTTATAAGGTTGAAAGAAAGGTAATACACGTAACGTGCTTAGCACACTGCCTGGCAGGGATTTGAGGACTTTGAACTGTTAGGAAGCCAGCCAGGGTGTGGTCAAGCATAAACGGAGCCCCAGTGAAACAGCGAGGCCTGGGCTCCGGGTTCCGGGCCTTCCCAAAAGAAGGCACAGCCTGCAGGATGGGCAGCCTTCCCCTGGCAGAGTGGGAGCAGGCATTCCAGGGGGCAGAGAGGTACAAGGAAAAGCACTGGGTTGAGAACCTGAGGTACGCATGGGGAGTAAAAGTCCTTCTAAGGACGTGTGCAGAGAAGAAGGAGGTTCAGGGCCCCTCCATGAACTCGAACCCCAAAGCGAAAGCCGCAGGTCTATCATAAGACTGCTGTCAGGGTCAGGCAAGGCTCCTAGAAGGAAGCTCCCTTCCCACCACCCTCCTGCCTTCTTCAGCAGGGCCTCCTCCCAGGGCCTGGTCACTCCCAGCATGCAGCACCCCCACCCACCGCTGGCTGGGAGGCAGGCAGGAGGTTTTTCGCGGGGGCTGTGCCGGTGGGCGGTTTTCCCAGAGCACGAAGCGAGGCAGGACTGCATTGGCGCCAGCTCCCTCAGATATAGACATCGCTGGCCAGATGACCAGCCTGCCCGGCTAGCTTGAGCCCAAGGACTCCCTCAGGCACTGTGTTCCTGTCCTGGGAGCTGTGACACCACATCCCTAGGGTGTGGCATGTCACAGAGAAAGGCCAGAGGGGCACTGGCCATGCCGGGAGTGGGGCAGAGCCCGGCGAAGGCCAGGCCGAGGCTGCTAGCAGGCACCCACAGCAGGAGGAGCCGCCTGAGCAGGACCAGGCAGGACCTGTGGGAAGGGACCGGCTGGAGCTACCAGAGGTGGAGCAGAGCTGCCCCTGCCCCCAGAGGGGCCGGCCCCGGGAGCCTGGCTGGTGTCAGGGTAAGGAAATAGGGCCCTGCAGAGGGAGCTGGGGAGGCAGGGGGTGGAGGGGTTGAGAGAGGTCACCTCGATGGCAGAGCATCAGTCAGTGTTACCATCCCTGCCCTAAATAGGGGACCCTGGCCCCTTCGACTCTAAGGCTCCATGCTTTGTGGTTGGGGTAAGCTGAGAGTGTGGCTAAGAGACCTGGCCAACTCCCTTCTCTCCAGGACACTAAGCCTGGAGGAGTGATGTGAATTTCCCAAGGCCCCAGGGCAACAGTCAGCAACCGCAGGGCCAGGACTTTAGTCTGTGATTTGAGCCCCGTCTGGTGTCATTTCCTCTTTACCACAGCTGCCTCTTCTTCTCAGATGAGCCTGGGCCAAGGGTCATCTCTACCGAGCAGGACATGGCTCTGTGCTCCCTGTGGCCCAGGGCACCTGATCAGCAGGATTCAGACCTGGGTGTGGATGGAAGGAAGGAAGGCTAGGACGAGGCACCTGGGCGAATTAGAAAGAGCACAGGATCTCAGGTTCTGGGCCAAGCTTTGCCCACCTGTTCCATCGGACACCAGGCGAGGCCTTCTCTCCATTCCCTCAGCTGTAACGTGGGGCAGGGCCAAGAATGGACAGATTGGGGTGATGTCGTTGGGTCCCTGCTGTCAGAGTGCTCGTTTGGCCCCTGCTTGTTCACTAGAATGCTCTTAGAAGCCGGGGCCTGAGGGTGGGGGTGAGGGGGTCCGGTCAGACTCACTCGCCTGGTCCTCTGTGCAGAGTGAGGTCAGTCCTGAGAATGCCGCGCGGGAGCAGACGGGGTGAGGACGCTGCGCAAGGCCTTCCTGGCCCTGCAGGCCGCTCTGCCTGCTGTGCCCGCGGGCACCAAGCTCTCCAAGTTGGATGTGCTGGTGCTGGCCCACCAGCTACATAGCCCACCTCACCCGCACACTCGGCCACGAGTTGCCTGGCCCCGCCTGGCCACCCTTCCTGCGTGGACTCTGCTTCCTGCACCCTCTCAAGGTAGGCCATGGGGCCAGGGCCTCGGGGAAGGGGGTTTGGGGTAGAGGGATATTGGACTCAGATCCCGGCCTGCAGTGGGGAATGGTGATTGGAAATGACTTTATGAAAATGTAGTTCCAGGGACATTCATGGAGGCCCCAAGACTCGGGGGTGCCTAGTGTCAGGGGAGAAAAAGGAACAGGTTCCAGGCTGGTGCCTGGGAAAGGAAACCGTGCCTCAGAGAGTCCTGGATGTGGGGGGTATCGTCCCCTGTCCTTGGGACTTCTGTGGCAGGAGAGATGCCCGCTGGGAGAGCAATAGTCTAAGAAAGCATCGCTCTAGAAGCCACCAAGCTGGGGACACCACCTACCAGACTGCAATCCACCTGTCCCAAACCTTGCTTATATTATACTAGAGGCTCAGTGCATGGATTCGTGCATGGGCGGGGGGGGGGGGTGTCCCTCGACCTGGCCTGCAGGGATCAGGCTGAAACCAGCTCTCAGACATCCCCTGAGGGGTCCCAGATTGCAAGACGGTAGTTCTCTGGTGATGCACCCTAGAATCAGGCTCCCTCCTCTCTGGTTCCAGTTGTGTCACCCAAGAACCCCAGCTGCCAAGTCACCTCAGCTCAGCAGCTCCTCAATTTAGCGTCTGCCCCCTGGTGGTCAGTGCATGTCATAGCTATCAGCCGGTCAGTCGCTTAGGCTTTTATATATAGATGTGGGAGGAAAGGTAACATGAGCCTTACTTCTCTTCCAGGGTATGAAATGAGACTATTCATAAAAAGCATAATTAACAGTAAATCACCGTCTCAATAACAGCTAACAGTATTTGGATGCTAAAGTTATGCCAGGAGCTGTGCTTTAGTGCATTTTTATCTTTTAATCCACACAAGAACCAAAGCAGGGCTGCTTTACAGATGAGGAAGCCGAAGTTCAGGGAGATTAAGTGGCTAAATGTTTGAACCCAAGAGTGTCTGCTTCAGACCCCCTCCCTTGCTCACAGCCACCAAGCAGGCCCAGGAGGCGGCATGTAAATTGCTGGTTGTGGGGTATAACTGTGCTACAAAGGAAGAGACATTCTACCCCTGAGGGTAGCATTGTAATGGGGTCAACTTTATTTTTAGGGAGTCTACTTTTCACCATCTGTCTCCCCTGAACACCATAGTTCTGAAATGTCTTGAAACTTGAGATTTTTTTATTTTATTTCATGCAAATGTAGCCAAAATGCAAGAATTTGAGACTAAATGGGGGCAACTCTGAAGAGCTGACAGTGGCATCTGGGGTACATAGTTGTTGCCTTAGCTGTAAGATGGTGATCAAAGTAAGGCCATTGCATGGAGGAAGCAATGGATAAATGTATTGAAGAACGAACCAATGAGAGCCGGGTAAGGTCTGGAGCTCTGACAGTGGAGCTGCTGAGCCAGGAGCAGTGCCCCTCACCCCAGCCCCCAGGTGGAGGGGTTGCCAAGGGGAGGGCAGACCTCAGGGAAAAGTCAACCTGGGACTGTCTAGGACTGCCCACACTCCTGCTGGAAGGAGGGACAATCTTGGGAGGTCCCCAGTCATAGGGTGTGGGCACTGACGTCTGGGTCAGAGGCACTTGGGTGGGAGGCTGTGCAAGAGAAGGACTCACTCCTCACTTTCCATCTCCGTGTCTTGCAGAAGTGGCCAATGAGATCTCGTCTCTATGCTGGAGGCCTGGGGTGCTCTGGCCTTGACTCCACCACAGCCACCAGCCTGGGCCAAAGAACAAAGGAGGCAGAGGCCAGACCCCAAGTCCCTGGAGAGGCAGATGCTCTCCTCCCCACCAGGCCACTCCCACCCGTTCTTGGTGATAAATGACCATCATGCTCACCTTCACTCCTGGACTGCGACTCAAGCTTAGGGACCTGGTTTCTTCTCTACCAGGCCCTGCCTGTCTGCATGCTGACTCTTACCCTTTGGATCTGACTCAGCCCCCAGGTTCCAGCCTGCAGACCAGACAAAGCCGGGGGCACGTCTGTGATGGAGTGCTCAGGAGCACCAGGGAGTCCACCCTCATCTTGGCACCAGGGGGCTCTTTTGTGGCAGCTACAAGGGAAATGGGAGAGGAAGGGGTTTGATTGGGTTGGAGGTTGAGTTATGGCACTACCCCTTGCTCCCCCACCCCCCCACCCCCCTCACACCCCCAAAGTTCCTGCAAACCCTCTGGAGATTGCAAGCAGAGGGAGGGGCCTAGGATGGCAACAGCCGCAGGGGCTGATGGGACCAGGCAGGCTCTTGGCCGCTGTGCGTGTGAACAGAGCTGGGCTGGGGTCGCATGAGCAGAGGGGAAACTGAAGAAGGGAATGTTTTGTTATTTCACCACGACGTACACGGATGCCAAAGAGGCAGGACGGCGCTCAGGAGGCTTGTCTCTGCATTATGGTCTCTCCAGCTGCCCCTCACCTCTACAGTGTCTCCCCCTCGGGGCCCTGCACCCTTCCGCTCTTTCCTTGATACGAGTTCTATTTACAGGTGAAGCCATAAAGCTCGCATGGCTTACATTCCAGTTTCCGAGACACTTGTAGTCCCCACTGCCTCCTCAGAGAAGACCTGACCCCGAGGCAGCGCCACCTTAACGAACCCGCAGCACCCTAAGGCCTTGCATAAGAAGAACATCCTTGAAGGACCTTAGGAGAAGAACGTGTATCTCTTCCAGGGGATGATAATTACAGTCTTCTCTTTCCATTATGTTAGGAATCCAACCTCCAGGAAAAACAAGGTCCGGGTCTAGAGGGATTCTTGTATGATTTTGGCCTAAGGACTCACTGGCTCCAAAATTATTTCTACAATCTGTCTACAAATGACCTCTCTCGGGTCAACTCCTCCCCACAGACACTGCCCTCCCAGGCTCTCCCTCAGTCCTGCCAGGGGGAGCCAGAAATTTGATAGAGTTCCAGTGGAATTTACCTCTGGTCCTGAAGAAAGAATTTGAGGACTAATCACAGAGTTTGCACATACTGGAAGGAATCTTCCAGATCAGGTATCGCTTCAGGAGCCCAAAGTCCAGACAGAGAAAGAATCTTTGAGTGAAAGGGGATGGGTGAAGACGACTAGAATCCCAAGAGTACAGAGTACCTCCTTAGAGCCACCATCGCCACCATGAGAGTAAGTGAGGTTTGGGGCCGGCTGGCAGTGGCTGGGGGTCACCGGTGTGAGGAATTGCTGTTCTTCCACAGGGCTGGCCCGGGGGGCAGTGGGAAGGGGACTGAAGGGGTGACTCAGCAAGTTGGGGTGGAGGCAGGAAAAGACACAGAACGTCCTAGTCAGGCTGCATGGATGTGGGAAGGCAGCTGGACCGTGGCTGGGAGCCATGGGGAGAGGGCCTGGGCCAAGGCCGACCTCGTAAATCTACTGAGTCTCTGCTGAGGGCCTGGAGAGCTTGTGCAGAGCTGCTCTGGGCAGCTGGACGGGGCCAGCAGGGCCAGAGACCAGGTGTGGGTGGGCACGAATGCAGTGTTCTTCACAGACCATAAAAGTCCAGCTCGAGTCTCCTAGTCTTCAAACCAATGAGCGGCATCTTCCTGGTTGAGTTTGAGGGTGATAGGAAGAGGAGCAGGTCACAGTCTCCTTCCAGGAATGAAACTGGGAAAGGGGGCGTTGAGTGTGCATGGGGAGACCCTACCTCACCCCTGATTCTGCATGTGACAGCTCTACCCCCCAAAGCATCGGGTTTCTCCTGATAACTGAGGAAACTGGTTTGGAGCTTGCCCCATCCCACCCAGGTCAGACTCAATCCTGTGCCCTGGGTGGGTGGGGGGCGCCCACGTCACCCTGGGAGAGAAGACAGGAGGGCAAACGGGAGAGGAAGCCGGTGGAGGGCGGAGGAAGGGCGAGGGCCCCATTACAGGTTCTAAGGCTGCCTCCGGCGTTTCCCCGGCAAAGCTGTCTCCAATGTGGAAAACAGTTCTTTTTCATAAAAGTGTTCTATATGTTCACACGTAGTGGGTTAATAAATGTTATTTTAAAATAAATATTCTGGGGGGGAAAGGAGACATATGTAATACTCTTTGTAATACTTTAAGAAATAAAAATTATTAAAATATAAAAAAAAATAAATAAATATTCTTTAAAAGTCTCTATTTTAATTTCTAATATGGTGACTGTCAAGGGGTCCTGAGACCGAAGGATTTATGGTTTTTGCTCTGGGAGAAATCCGTGATGGTCAAGGGAAGATCCCCCCTCATCCTGATCCTGGACGTGACGGCTCTGCCCTCGGCCTTGGGCAGGCAGTGAGCTGGTTTTGGTCTTTGAGAGACAAAGGGCTTGGGGTCTCCGGGGTGCCTGGCAGAGTGTGGGCAGAGGCCTGTGTCCTGATCCTTAGGTTTCCTGGGGAATGAAGGTGGGGCTGCTCCCCGCGTGGACTGGGCCTTCCTCAGGCTCTGACACGGCCTCCTTGTCTCTGATGCCCTTCAGCATCCCATGACTCCTCTTCTCGGGGAGCACTGCGGTGCCCCCAGAGAGGCCCTGCAGACACAGAGCAAAGGGTGTGAGGTGGGGTGAACAGGAGACAAAGGGCTGGGGAAGCGACTCAAGCAGCAAAGGTGAGAGACCCTGCTCCGAGCCCAGCGAGAAGGGAGAGCAGCTGGAGGGGAGGGGAGAGGAGAGGCCAGCACGCGGTGCTCTCTCCCCGCTCAGACCCTTCTGCCCACCAGGCCAGAGCTCTCCTGAGGAGCCAGGGCAGCTCTGCAGCCTGGTCCAGGCTCAGGCAAATACCAGAGGAAGGGGTGCTGGGTGGGGGAGACAGCAAAGGGGTGGAAGGGAGCCCGGAGGTCTGGCAGCGATCTGGAGAGGAAGGAAGGGGGCAATCTGACAACACAGGTGCCACCTGGCTGTAGCTTTCGCAGCTTCTGAGGACACAGGCAGGAAGGCAAGGAGTCTTGGCAACACGGGGTAAATGGTCTGAAGGTTCAGGACTCGCCCTGCATTCTCCCTGAAGGCAAAGGAACCTTTGAGTCTCTTACCCTGTGACCCGGGCACACCCAGCAAGCACACAGCCACCGGTCCCCACCCCCCGGCCTCCAAAGGAACCACCACAGTCCCTGCTTCGATGACGAGAACCCTCAGGGGTGAGTATCTAGCTCCTCTCAGTTGAGCCTGGGTTTCCCACTCCTCCCACCCTAGGGGGTTGGGGGGCACATATGACTTCCCCTCTCTGGGGGTCCTGCCCCCCTAGGGCCTAGGTTGGGAGAGGATCGCCTACCCCAACACAGCAAGGCATCAGCTGCTGAACAGCCAAACAAAGGACAAGGGACCAACCTCCTCGACTGCCTAGGGCAGGAGCCGCAGGAATCCATGTAACTGACAGGAGATACTCGAAAGACAGAAGAGCTGACCGCCAGCCATCGGTGAGATATTAGTGGGGACAGAAGCAGGAACTAAGGACCAGTGCCATTGACTAAGCTGAGAAGTGTAAAGGGGCAAAGATGACTGAGGGTTGTTTTTTTTTTTTAAACCTAAAAATAAATTCTAAAGAAGTATGATCTAGTCATCAGAGTAGAAACCATCTTCCACATGAAGGATCCCGAAAGGAGAAAAATCACTGAGTGAGTCAGGCTGGCCTGAATGACGACGGTTACATCAAGACTTCAGGGGGTGCCCGAGCTGTTAGGCTCCCTGGATAGAGCGTCGGCCTGCAGACTGACATGCCCAGGTCACAGGCTCGATCCTCAGTGGGGGGCATGCAGGAGGCAGCCCAGCCGATCAATGATTCTCTCTCATCATTGATGCTTCTATCTCTCTCTCCCTCTCCCTTCCTGTCTGAAATCAATGATATATATATATGTGTGTGTGTGTGTGTGTGTGTGTATGATACTTCAGGGGGTCAGAACCTCTGGTTGGGTCCAAATTGGATGGAAATAGCTTCTGTACCACACATCCCAGAAACCACAGCTCACCGCACAGGGCTCTGGTGAAATACTCTCACTCTCTCCTTGGGTGAGGGTTAACAACAACAACAAAGATGATGCATAAAACATTAAAAGCATTTTTTAAATGCATTGTTGGGCCAGTAGGAAGATAAAGAAAAGCAATAACAGAAGGGATAAAAAAACACACCATAAAACCAAAAATGGTAAGCCTGCACCGAGGCCAGTGCTGCCTTGGCAGTAGCTCCAGATTCCTCTGCCCAAGGCCAGGCCTTTAACAGACTAAATCTGGGGACTAGAGACAAAGCCTGAGGCCCACACCAAATAGGATATTGAGTCAGAGACCCTGACATAAAGCAGGGATCCCCAAAGGCAACACCCTCAGTCTATAAAAGAGAGATAAGGATACTTGTCCAAACAGATCTTGCCTCGGGGTGGGAGTTGGGGGAGTCTTAGATTGCTAAGCCCTTAAACTTTGGGGGGGGGGGGGGGTCTGGGAAAGCAAAAGTTTCAAGTGGTCTTGATTTAGGAGTGTTTCTAGGCATGACCAAGTGCAATTCTCTGGAAGAACATGCTTTAAATCCAGGCTTTGAAGGATTCCCATGGATAAAATTTTAACAAACTTTCAAATTCATAGCAAACAATTCTGGAAACCAGAAGGAAGCATGCCCCCATAAGAAAGCGAGAGCAGGAACATTGAACTGTAAACTCACACTTGCAGCGACAACAGATATTGTAATTTTTAGTTACAAAAAACATATTACATATGTTGAGTACGTTTAAAGAAATAAAAAGTAATTTGAAAAGACAATGCAGGAACAAGAGCTATTAAACATGACCAGGTAGAATTGGAGAAAAAATACAATTTCTAGAAATTAAAAATATATTGTTTTCATAAAGAACCCAGTGGGTGATTAGAAACTGCCAAAAACAGAACTAGAAAATCAGAAAATAAAGCTGAAGAAATTACTCAGAAATCAGTACATATGAACAAAGAGATAGAAAAAGAATATAATGTAGGAGAATATCTTCATGACCCTGGAATAAGGGACTATTTCTGAAAGAAGACACAAGTAGGATTAACCCTAAAGGAAACGACTGATAAATTGTACTACATATAATTGGGAACATCTGCCCTGGCTGGTGTGGCTTACTTGTTTGGAACATCATCCTGTACCCCTAAAGGTTGCAGATTCTATTTCTGGTTGGGCACATACCTAGGTTATGGGTTTGATCCTCATTCAGGCGCATATGGGAAGGCAACCAATCGATGTTCCTTTCTCACATCAGTCTCTCTCTCTCTCCCTTCCTCCCCTCCCCTCTCTCTAAAATCAATAAGCATATCCTCGGGTAAGGATTAAAATTAAAAAAAAGGAACATCTATTCATCACAAGACATCACTGAGAGAGTGAAAAAGGCAAGTTCCCAGGCTGGAGAAGATATTTGTAATACATATAATCAAAAGGGCTTGTATCAAGAATATATTTTAAAATCTTCATAGAGCAATAAGAAAATTGTAAATGGGCTAGAGCAGCCGTGGGCAAACTACGGCCCGTGGGCCGGATCCAGCCCGTTTGAAATGAATAAAACTAAAAAAAAAAAAAGACCGTACCCTTTTATGTAATGATGTTTACTTTGAATTTATATTAGTTCACACAAACACTCCATCCATGCTTTTGTTCCGGCCCTCCGGTCCAGTTTAAGAACCTATTGTGGCCCTCGAGTCAAAAAGTTTGCCCACCC